GAATCTATCGCGGAGGAGGTTGGTGACCAGGTGATCATGTTCACAACCTACAACGATTTGTGGAAGGACGCTGGCCCTTACGGAGTTGAAAAGTATTGGGGTATTTTCAAATAAATATTTCCATCTACAGTAAATAAATACCCGTTGGATATAGCTTTCTAGCGAAAGAAATAGACTATGGTACTTGAATAATACATGATTACATGGTTTATGGTATATCAACGAGGTATCTGCAGGTGTACTGAGCACTACTTTAAGGTGAGCCTAAAACTACCTTTAATCAACTTCCATTATCACGGCGGTATAGACCACATCTTTGCATACAATTAGATCACAAATAGACTACCTTAAATCTATACACGGCGGGGATACACTCGTGAGCGTTACCGGGTACTATGATCCGCGCAGACCACCGTCTGCTTACGATGTATAGAGATGCGCGCACCTACAGGAGAAAGCAACCACGCTGAGAAGCGCGTTTTTAAATCGTGAAGATACGCGTTTACACGCGTTCCAACGGTTTAATTTACAAATCTTATTTATAATTTTATTTCTATCCACGCTCGTAGCAACGTCGTAGGAAGAGATAAACACGAGGCCAATCCCATTCACTGATGTTAACCAGAAGCACCGTAAAATCCTTTTCTGTGAACAATTCACCCAACGGAAACTACTTGCGGAAATATCACCTCCTGTATCACGGCTTTCAACAAAGAGGATTACTTTCCATTATACGCTTAGCTCGTATAGTTTTTTGATAATTTCCTGATTAGATAAAGTGAGTAATCTTTCAGCCCAGATTATAAATTTGGATGTACGATTTAGCGTATTGAGCGCCCCAAGTTGTGAGGCGCGAAAGCTAAATATGCCTGTAACTTAGCGTGAGGCGATCTACAGCTAAAACGCGCCCGAAACTATACGATTACGCCCAAGTAAGGTCCGATCGTTTCGGCGGTGGGAGGCATATGCACAAGCTTCTCCTTCAAACGAGGCACAGACCCAGGTAACCATAGTGCCCAAGTACTGACGCCATTTGAGGACATTATCCTTTTATTGGCAGCGGTACCCGTATCTAATTTCTCGGATAGACATATAACTTTATCCCAATACACCTGTTTAGTACCACCTTACTGTACATAGCGAACGGTGATACTGGGTATTACGAGTACTTGAGACGCGTCTCGAAGGGGTTGTGAGCCGCGCCAGCCTGCACTCCTTTACCGGATCACCAGGACTGGGACAAGGAATATCAGGCGAGCGTGCATGTGCCTTTGTATAGTGTACCGTAACCCATGGGAGCTTATCCCTTCTCTTCTTGGAGTCAGGCGCCGTCCAGACATTAGTTATTTACTCGAAGTGCTATTTATATCTCAACCTTATTTACGAAACTGCGGTATCCACGTAAAGCTAAAACTCGTGCGACTCCTTGCATGTAAGCGCTTAGATGTCTACGCCTTCTACAGGCTCTTAAGGTAAAGGTATACTTTATTTTGTAGCATCTTATATAAATCTTACTATTCCCATTGTATTTGACATACTATTTTTAATCTTATCAAACACTCACTTTCCTTTAACAGCATACCCATTAAATCCCCTCACTCATTCGGGTTCTTTGACGTACACGTTGTCCAGCTTTACATTAAACCACTGAAAACATATCAGTAACCTCTCGTTCAACTTTTACACAAAGCAATACCTCAACAATGAAGTTATCTGATTTGTATCTTATTTCCTCTTTGGTAGTGGGTTCTCTCGCTTATCCCGTCAGGCATCAGCACAGGCATAAGCGTGAGGCTGACATCGTCACAGAGTTCAATACCCAGATTGTTACTGTTACTACAGCCATTGCCGCAGCTCCCAGTACATCTGTCACCCCTCCTGCTACCACATCCGCAACCACCGCTTCTACTCCACAGTTAGCGTCGAACGGCGCTGGCGAAACCACCTCCTTGAGCACCATCTACACAACTTCTTACATTACTCTTGATGACAGCGAGGTTTCATCCTATCTTGCTCAGCTCGCTCAATCCCAAGCTTCTACTACCAGCATTGCTATCGTCAATAAGGGTGTTCATGTTTCTCACATTACCACATCGTCTGCTCCTGTTGTTACGACTAGCCAAGAAGTTAGCTCCAGCTCTGCGTCCACCTCCTTGACCCAATCTTCATTTGCCGCTGCCGTTTCTACTGAAACTGGTGTTGCCGCTTATGCTGTCAAGGGTAAGGGTATCACGTACTCTCCGTACGCCGATGACGGTTCCTGTAAGTCTGCCAG